CCGGGACCGGGACCGGGCAGTCGGTGTCCCGATGAACGGATCCGAGTTCCAGGGGAGGGATCAGTGTGCCGGCGGAGGGCAACCTGCTTAAAAGATAAAGATGCAGAGGAACAAGTGTTGTAACCCCCCGTGGGTCTGTGCAGAGCAAACCTTCCGGTAATCCCAGTACATATCTCTGAGAGACTCTGGGGTCGTAAGGTTTTCCAGGAAAGCAAAACAAGGACAGAGACGAGGGAACAGGCTTCCAATTAATAATGATTGGATGGATGTAGAAATGATTCTTGTATATTTGATGGTCCCTTTTTAATTCCTGGAATAATTTAAAAATTATTCCTTTGACGAATTATCTAAATTTGAGAATTTAAATTTGAGAGGAAATGGTGGAAAAGAAATACATGGAGAGATCATGGAGTCCCAAAATTATTTGAGTGGGAAGGGATCTTAAGGATCATTTAATTCCATCCCCTGCCATTCTATCCACAGCCCAGGATGCTCCAAGCCCCATCCAGCCTGGCCTTGGACACTTCCAGGGATGGGGCAGCAGCAATTTCTCTGTGTTTATGGGCACAGGAGGAAATTTCCAGCAGGAACTGAGACGTTTCCTTTGCTCTGTCCAGCCCCAGCAGGCCTTTGGGAGGCAGAGGGTGTGGGAACAGAGCTTTGCCCACGGCCTCGAGGGAGTCTCTGCTGTCCCAAAACCAAGCAGAGCAAATGTTTGTGGTTTAACATCCCGTTAAAAGGAGATGCCAGACCAGGAACAGGAATGGGCCATGGAGCCCAGCAGAGGAATGACCACCCAGAAGGTGCCACCAGTCTGTCCCTGCTGCCCAGGTTTGGGATGAGCAGGCTGGTGACTGTCCTTGTGTTTGCTCTGCAGGATGAGGAAGCCAACTCTGCCGAGGAGGAAGATGAAGACATGTGGGAGGGTGGAGACAGCGGCCACAAGGCTGGGGAAGGCACAGGGCCAGGCAGGAGATGTTGCTGTCCAAGGAGAGGGACTCATCTGTCCCGTTGGAATTTGGGGTGTAAGGCCAATGGAACAAAGGGCTTGATTCCATTTTCTTACTTGGGTTCTCATGTGCCTTAAGAGAGATTTGTGGAATGGTCATTTTAGTGGGTTTGCACTGGGTTTGAAGGAATGTGACCCCTGGGGCAGAAATCCCTGCACAGCTTTTGTGTTCCCCCTGTGGCTCATCTGAACAGTCCATGGGCTGGCCCTCCTTGTTTCCTCCTTCTCTAGGCTCTAGATGAAGTCCTTTCTTTCCCAAGGGAGGGGAAAGTCAGCAGGATGTGAACCAGAGGTGGTGCTTTAGGAAAGCCCCTCCAGCCTGGGAAGGTGCTTTTGGCTCCAGCTTCATTCCCAGT